TTTTTCTTACAATGGCACTCAATAACCGTCTGATTCCCTTTAGATTATATTTATTACTTAAAGTTTTGGGGGGTGCATCCATTTAACTAAAAAACTGTAAAACCTTTATAAGTGTGACTGGATTTTTAAATTAACAATGATATTCACTAGATCCACCTCTTTGTTTAATTACCATAAATCCTTTATCAGTCAACGCTTCCTTGTAAGAGTTTACTTGGGAAAGGCTTGTAGAGCATGTGACATCTCTTATTGTCCTTTGAGGTAAAATTTAAATTTTGTTACACAGGTAGGTCATCCTTCATGCCAGCTGCTTTAAAAAATTGACCAAAACTCCTCCCCCAATTTTTTCCAGGGTTAAAAAACAGGTAAAAAATAATTCTGGGGGTTTTTCAAAGACATCTTATTTTTTGGAAAGATTGTCAACTGCCCGGTTTTCACTTTTTTAATTTTTTCAAAACCTATTTTTCAAGAAAAAATTTTTTTTTCTAATTCTAAAATGGTTAATCGTAAAATCTATTTGTCTCATCTGACAATTTTCTAACAAATTCCCTTTATTTTTTTTTATAATATAATTTTTTGAATCATAATTTTCCCCAAAAACATCTAATACAATTTTAAATCACATTTCACAGTTTCGATTCATTAATTCCAACATTTCTGTAGCCTTTGTTACATGACCTTTTCTAGCCTGCAATGTGATTTTTTTTGCTCAAATTCCATGTGTTTGCTTTCATTAATTTCCCATTTTCCTCTGAGCAATATATTTAAAATTTAACTTAATTAATAAAACGATTATGTACTTAAATATGCACTTTACAAAGGTAAATATTACAACTTACCTTGAATAAATCCTAGCTACTTGAGCTTATCAATTACATGTAAGGAAATTATAATATAAACTTTAAATATACATTAGTAATCTTAGCTACACTTGAGCTTAGCAATTACATGTAAGGAAATAATAATATAAACTTTAAATATACATTAATAATCTTAGCTACACTTGAACTTAGCAATTACTCATGTAAGGAAATTGTAATATAAATTTTAAATACGCATTAATATAAACCTTAGCCAGACTTGGCTTATCCTTGCCAGACTTGGCTTAGCAAAATTAATATTATACAAATACACTAATATAAATCCTAGCCAGGCTTGGGTTAGCAAAATTAATGTTATACAAATACACTAATATAAATTCTAGCCAGACTTTGGCTTAGCAAAATTAATATTATACAAATACACTAATATAAATCCTAGCCAGACTTTGGCTTAGCAAATTTAGTATTGCAATAATTATAATCCACTACACATTAAGTAAATTTGTGGACCTAACATCCACCTCCTTGTGTCATTTCACATATAATTATTAAGTAATTAATTCACTAATTAATGACTTCACTAATTACATCCAGTTTGATCAAGGACCAACAGACAACTATTGTGAAAAATTAAATTTAAATGGATGTAACTCATAAGATACATACCAGTAAATGGTAACAAAGATAATTATTCTTTATCAAGGTTACAGAGACAAGTAGGAATTTTAGGACACTTAGGTCACAAAAAATGTCCTCCTTCGATGCCTACGATAATCTATCTCTTCACAAGTCACTCTGGACCTATATTAATTTCAAATGAAATATACATCACCAGGAATTGTGGTAAAAACATTAATATAAATATGTGGACTGTATATTAAATTTAAAATGAGAATACATATACATTGAAGGAGAATTTATGATAATAAGACTCACCAATTAGTCTGGAGATTACAATGTGTCATACAAACCCCCCTGCCTAAAATTATGGAGAAAATACTGGCCAGAATTTCAACACAAAATAGACATGACTTAGATGGGGTTCCAAACCTGTCCTGTCCATCTGCTTAATGCTCACGTTATGCAGGACTGCAAATCCAACAATTTTGGCTCCTATTTGAGAGGTTTAAAGCCCAGTATAGCCCCTAGAGCGACGAAAATTTATGCACATTTCACTAACGTGCCTTTACCACATTCATAACAATGGTGTCTCTTCCCCAGCGACCCTCACCCATTGCTGGTTCTTTCTTTATTTACAAATTAATTTTTAATACCTACAGTATATTACACTAATTTGCATACAAAATACACTGTATTTTTGGAGAATATACAGTATTTTTCCACAATATAATATAAAATATATTATATATATATATATAATATATATATATATATAAAAATAATATATATATATATATATAAATATATTTTATATACATATATACATATATATATAAAATATATATATATATATATATATATATATATATATTATTTATATATAATAATATATATAAAATATATAGTATATATGCAAAACAACCACTATGAAAGAATAGTAAAAATTCCGAGCGCTTTCGTGACTTCTCACATTATCATAGTTCCTTGATAGTGTGAAAAAGTCACGAATGCGCTTGGAATTTCACTATTCTTTCACAGTTGTTGTTTTGTATATTTTG